CCCGTGAAGTCACGTGTGTGACCAACCCATTCCGCAGTCTCCTGCTGAAGACACACACCTTTTGAGTGGCTTAGCTTTAATGGCACATGTGGTCCCCAAACAAGGAGGCTCTGTCATGAACAGGGCTGCTGTGGAGCACCTACTATGCCCAGTATTTCTGAGCTCACTTATTCCCACAACAATCCTGCAGAGTAGAAATACTAAAGGCCTTGGTTTACAGAAGAATCCGAGAGGTTATGAGACAACAAATAGGTGCAGAGTTCTAACCTGGATCCCCTGACGCCAAGGCCTGCCCTCCTTGTCATCACCAGTGAGGTCAGGGATGCTGCTTCTCTGGGTCTCTCAAGCTACTGCCCCCAGCCCGGGGCAAGCTCCCAGGAAGCTGTGCGGCCCATTTCCCACTCCTCAAACAGCTAGCTTCTCTCTCGTGTCAGCATGCAGGCCATTGTGCACCCTCTGCCTTGGAGGTGTTATTCCTCTGCTTTGTGAGTTTATTACTCCTATTACACGGTTGGCTGGAACAGTAACTAAATTGCCATGGGTGTCCCGGGTTGTGCATCTGAGCTTTCCCAAATCTAGACGTACTAGATTTCAGAAAATCCCACATCACTTAATAACATTAGTTTTAAGAAGAAAAATGGCATACTGTCAGAAAACACCAACTCAGTGCCACATTTAATTAAAAAGGTTTCATTTGAAGTTCAGTGCAGACTTGAAGGATGCAAGGGGCGCGGCAGTAGCTCCCCCTTATTGGCACCGTTTTATAACTAAGTGTGTTAAAATAAACGTGGCAACACTTACCCAGATGTCCACCAACTATCACAAACTTTATATACACCACATGTCTTCTAAACCACCGGCGGGACTGACTCTGCAAAAACAAGGCAAATAAACACCTTATTCACAATCCGCTTTAATTCGCCTGTGCTCGTTCGCTGGGGCTCTTCACCGTGTGGGGCACCCATCCACACAGTAGCAAACTCCCAGCTGCCCCTTTGCTGTGCACAGGAAAATGAAACCAATTTACAAATGATCTTAGCATACACCAATAAGAAAAAAAATATCTGTGAACAATTGAATCAATCTGAAACTGCGCTTACAAATACAAGAATTTCCGATCCTTTCAAACAACCAAAGGTAAGAGAACAATGGGGAAATACCTAAGCTTAAAAGCGTAACATTTTCCCCTAGAGCCAATTCCTCTCCATTTCATGACAGCACTCTTCCTTCTGCCTAGTTTAGTTCTGGGAGGCCAGGCCTCTTTGCTCTCTCTTCTTCAGTGGATCTTATTTGACTATCTGTGAAATAGGAATTGTGGTAACCAACCTCACAGTGTCGCCCATACTGTTAAAATCCATCAACTCAGTCACATTCAGGACACAGACAGGCTGAAAACAGCAGCAGACACCAGTCAGTGCTGAGTGAAGGAAGCTTTGCCCAGCATGCTCCTCCCTGCCCCAGCCTGAGACCTGGCTTCTCACCTCTGCTGCACACCAGGCCCCAGACCTGCTGCTGAGTCCACATCCCAGCTAGAACACACTTCTCTCCCTTCCTTCCGGACACATCTGCATCATGCCTCACTTTCAGAAATCCATGCCCAGCCTTTAGTCCCTCCACCCCCCCCACACACACACACAACAACTCTCTTGACTTCAGAAAACATGCCTCCCATCCCTTCCCATCACCTGCACATTCATACACGAGATTACATCAGCCTGAACTCATACTTGTCCTAACTTTATTTCCGAACGTTCTTAACCAGGCAGGAAGCAGCAGCCGCCTCACCGGCTGCTGGGCCTACACCAGGCCTGTGCCTCTCCTGGTCCCTTCTGTCCCATCCCTACGAGTAAGAGGCCCAGGAATTTTCTTGGGCAGGAGCTCTTTGCCTTTCTGGACTATGTCAGTCTACAGATTTTTTTCAGAATTCTAAATGGAATTTTTATTGTAGTTGCTTGTTCTTTTTTTAAAGAACAATGTCTTTAAATACTTGAAATTAACATATAAAATGCAAAGAATTTAAGTCACAAAATGCATCCATATTCAGTCATCAAAATATTTCATAGCCTCATAGTGAGACGCTGTCTCAAAAAAAATTTTTTTAATGAAGTTGAGATGGACTTCCTTCAATATTTAAATGATTTTCTGCAAAAACTAAAATAAATGCCATTTTAAGTATTCTTAAATGAAAAATCATATTTCATGATGTCCTTGATTATAATGTAACATAAAGCATTCACAACTCTATTCTTATTCTATTCTATAGACAGCTAAAATTATTCCATACAAATAACAAGGAGTGGATTTCTTCCTCTCTACGTCCCTGACCCCTTGAATTCCAGCCATATCCTCATTCAAGAGCACGAGATTAAGCCTCTCCTAACTCTTATTATCTTTCGCTGTCTTGATTTTCCTAATTGGTATTACATTAAATTTTTGTTTTCTAGTCTTTTAAATTATATTTTGATAGAATACTTTATATTTCACGTTTTAAGCATTTTAACATCTAAGCATTTTAACTTTTTATTCCTTTTTAATAACACTCTCCCCTATTACTTTCATGGGAAGGGAGGCATTCATCAGTACTGTGTGAACCAATCAGCGATTAAGAACACTGATTGTACAAAGCTTGGCTAATATTAAAATTATCTCATCTCTCTTTGGCAGTTATGAGGTCCTAAATATGTAGATGGACACCTCAGCATTCTATATTTGGATTACAAATGACTGAAGTCAGGCAACAGAATGTTCTCTTCTTTTTAGAGAGTAGATGCTTCATCTGTCAATTGCTGATTGACAGGTCTCTGGGAACAGACCAGCTGTTCACGTACTCACTGACAAGCAATACGTGGATACGTAAGAGATTAAGTACAGGGCGGTGGTGGCGCATGCCTTTAATCCCAGCACTCGGGAGGCAGAGGCAGGTGGATCTCTGTGAGTTTGAGGCCAGCCTGGTCTCCAAAGTGAGTTCCAGGAAAGGCACAAAGCTACACAGAGAAACCCTGTCTCGAAAAATTAAAAAAAAAAAAAAAAAAAAAAAAAGAGAGATAAGTACAATGCCTGCCTTCCTGGAGCATCAAGTCCAGCAGCTTCCATCAGCGGGTCCAGAGCAGCTAGAAATCTCTCCACTTCCTAGAGTCTTGCATAGAAAAGAATGGTAAAACCATGTTGGCAAGGCCAGTTAGCACCACTTGGCATCTCCTGGAAATTGGACCAAGATCCGACTTCCTGCCAATCACACAGAGGTGAAGCTGTGGTGCTGGGATGGGGAGATCAAGCAGATGAAATGGTGGAAGCCCACATTCCTTCCCCATTGCCCCAGGAGTGATGGCTCTGCATATGAGGCCAGAGATGACAACCACTCATGACCACCTCAGGTGGGTCTATGTAACATCTGGCCACATGCTTCATTGCAAGCCCCAAAGCATCTGTGATGAATCAGACTCATGAAGGACAAGACTGTCTATATTATCCTTTTTCCTAAGTAGCTTCAGCAAGGGATGACTGCGTATCTTTTGCCAAAAACAAACAAAAACCAGGACAGTTCTCCCTTTTTAAATGAAGAAAGCATAATGATTTTCTCCACTGAAAAATCAGTAATCAGGGCACAGTGACCAAGGCTTTGGCAGAAGTCTACCACTGGCAGAATCTTTCAAACCTAACATCATGTCAAGTGACTCTTAGGATACGTGGGAGTGTGTTCTTCTTCTCCAGTAACTCCCAAGGCTGATGAGCTATCTACTGTAAGAACAAGGGGCAGACTTGGCACCTTACACTCTTTATACTTAAGCACATCTATTCCCATTTCATTAGGATTTGGATACATGATATTAGTTACTGGTCAAAGTAACTGAAGGTTAACAAAGAGGTGAGTTGACTACTGTTTTTTGAACTCCAATGTGTGTGTAGTTATAAAGGAGTAATACTGTTTTTATGGGTACTCCCACACAATAGTGTATAACCCCATGTACTTTCTGTTTCAAAGGCACACCACAGGCTGTGTACGACTTCTGAGTTAAAGGCAACATTTTCAATACACACTGTGAACAGGTATTGCCAATACAATTCTCATCAATACAGGGTTATTCTCGCTTTCTTCTTCCTAATGGAACCCTCATACAAGCTTTACCAGCCATGAGCCTCGGGAGCAGGGGAAAACAAGCTCACTGGGGGGTGGGCATCTGAATGGTCTGGGGCTTTGCAGGACACCAACCCACTTGGACACTTCTCAAGAGTATCAGCCCTATGGCTTCACTCAAACCAAGCTTTCCCAGGCGATCCGTGTGTATACTAAGGCTGGAGAGGGTCTGACTCAAGAGACCCCCAAACTCTTGCCAGTGATTGGGTCAAAAATAAATATGGGCCCAATATAGGCAATGAGAGAAGAATGTTTTACTAGGAACATCTCACTCTTCTGAGAGAACCTCTTTCTTGTCCAATGGTGTGTGTGTGTACGAGGCCTGGGACTTCCATGGCTCTTTTGCTGATCCTGGAGACACAGAACACAGAGAAGCAGAGCGCAGGGCTGCAGCACCTGCGTTCCCAATGCATTCCTCATTGTTCAGGACTCCCTGAGTGGAGTTGGCAACTGTTTACTCTAGAAAGTGTTTTAAGGAGTAAGTCCCAAGAAAACGTTATAAAAGGGACAGGATGGCAAGGCGCTGCGCTCCCTCACAAGCTGACGAGACCAGAGCAGCACTTCAGAGGGTCACTTTGTTCAGGGAACTGACCCAGTGCTGTTCTGGTTATGATGACCGTGTCTCATCTGTGCATTTCCAAAAGCTTTCCAAGTCAGCTGGACTCAATCATCCAGAGGAAATGTTGAGCACTTTCCAAATTATCTTAACCAGAGTGGTCAACAGTTGCCTTCCCAAGAAGTCACATGGATGTCATTTCCTGTGAAGACAATGGGAGACTAATTGCTCAGCCTCCAATGGGGAAGATATGTAATTACTGAAGGGTAAATAAAGGGGAGCTTGGGGCTGAGTCTGCTTCTGGATCTGCTCCAATTACTTGTGGAATTGGGGGCAGCTATCTGGTCTGGAAAAGATCTGAGGGGCAGTACCTTATGCAGGCATTTATACCCCTTTAGAAGCCCCTGGTTCTTAGTGAAGACCTTGTTGAGAAAAGCAAACAGACTGGCCATTACACGGAACCACATGTGACTTTAGTATCATTTTGATTCATATGTAAGAGTTATGCATAGTTGTGGAGATGGCAATGTCTCCAACATCTTTGGTGTCCTAGCTTGCTAGCCACTGGGGGAGAGTACTCTGCTGGGTTTGTCACAGTGGCCTGAGGAGACTGAATTTTCTGTCAGGGAGTGAACAGCACACTGACTGTCTCACAGAATGTCTGCCCAGCTTCTGCCTCACACGCTCTTTTCCCCTCAGACCCTTTTGGCTTTCTCTTTCCTGTCCTCCTTCCTCTTCTTCCTTCCCCAGTTCCCAACAGCATCCCATGTGATGAATTTCAAACTCCACAGCTACCATTCTTGTGCCTGGCTTATCAGTTACCTTTAGCCAGAGGGAAGGAATCTCGTGGCCACTGTTCTGCTCACAGTGCTTGCACAGTACCTGGCCTGGAATTTACAACATCTGCTGACTGAGCAACCAAAAAGCCTCCTGGGATTGAGAATGTCTCACAGGAGCTCCTGCTGCTTCCCAGCTCTGGCTTCTCTTCGCTCACCTTGTTGGCATACAGGAATATCCAGGGCACAGGCTGCTTAGGTCCCAACCACAACGCGTCATCTGGGAAGGACGCACAGCCTAGACCATGTTTTGCAAGTGAGAAACCACATTCACTGCAGCCAAGAAGCTCCCAAGAAGTGTTCAAACTAGAGGACAGGAGAGATGGGAATTTTTACCCAGGCTG